ATAACCCCATGTATTTTTTTATCATTGTGGCGGGGTTGAATTCCAGATATGGATCAGCATAGCAATCGACTGGTTGATGATGATTATTAGGCCACTTATCTTGTGGAAGAGTGAGGTTGGAGGGACCAGCATCTGTTTTTTTTAAAGATAAGGGACTCGGTTATACAGTAGCTGGGTTGTCTGCTGGAAGATTCCGTTCACACATTTAACCAACTAGCACTGGCACTGCTAAAATCACAACTTGCATTTGTGCCCTTTATGTCAAACAGGATAATCGTGTTATGTGAAGATTTCCATAGTATGATTACTTTCGAGTAGTCAGTGTACTCTATGGTACTTTCCTTTAATTATAGAGCATAAATGTGTTGCTTTATGGCAAGTATTTGGAGTAGGAATGAACCTTTTGTGCTTTTATTTTGATTAGGGGTGGGCACGGTTCGGTTTGAACTGGTTTTTTTCTCAATTTGAAATCGAATTCAGTACTATTTATCCAGTTTGGTTCGGTCCGGTTTTAACAAAAAAAATTATAAAACCGTCCAATTCGGGTTGAACAAGTTTCGGTCCGGTTTGGTTTTGAACCGGATTATTATTATTATTATCTTTCTAAATTATTTTTTTCTAAAAATTTCAACTTAAAATTTATTTATTTTTGGCTTGAAAATTAACAAATTATTCAATTTCATACAAAAAGAAATATTAAGGCTAGAAAATAGAGATGTTTTGAAATTGAATTTGGGTAAATATTAGTTATGAGATTAAAAATATAGCATTGGATATAAATAAATATTAAATTTATATATTTTTTAATTTGACCGATTCAGTTTGTTGGGAGTATAGAATCGGAACAGGAACCTGTTAGAACCGGTCCAGTTTGGTTTTTTGGATTGATTTTGACTTTTTGGTCAACACGATTTTTTCTGGTATGGTTTGGTTTGGTTGATCGGTTCCGATGCCCACCCCTAATTTTGACAAATGATTGAAGTGTTAGATAAACTGATTTCACAGGTGTGAGCTGAGCACAGTTTCAAAATCGTGCTCAATAGGGTATATATATATTTTTTATAAAAAATATAAACACAATTTGAAAATCATGTTCAATGCCAATTGTTTAAATAAATAAATAAAAAGTTTTTTTTATATCACAAATGGTCCCTTAGGTTTGCAATATTATAGCCTTTCGTCCTTAATGTTTTTTTATTTATAGTGACATTAATAGTCCTTAAGGTTATACTCCACACATCAAAAAGGTCTCTACCGTTAACTTCAGTCAATTTTTATGTTAAAAAGTTGACATGGCATATATGTGGGCTACACATCCAATAATATTTAGCCATGTGGTTTTAAATAAAATATTAATATATTTAAAAATAAAATTATTTTTTTTTTAAAAAAAGATAAAATTAAAACTTTTAATTTTTTTTATTTAAAAAAAATTCTCTCTCGCCCTCTTCCTTCCAACATATTGCCCCACCATGCCAACCCACCTCCCTTTACCCTCTCTCTCTCATTAGATTCAGGGGTGATGGTTAGGCAAGCAAAGAACCGGGTTGGGATTTAATGCAAGAACATAATCAGTTTCAATGGTTGAGGAAGGCATAGAGGTCCAAATCTGGAATGGGTATGGCTCTTTGTTATGAACTTGAAATTAGGGGTGGGGACTGGGACCAGAAAACAAGAACACCGAACCGGATTGGAGAAAAAAAACCTGTAAAAAAAAATCGGTTGACCAAAAAAGTCAACAAATCGGATCGAAATTGAACCGAATCGATTTCAATTTTGATTTTACACCAACCTAAACCGGACCGAACCGAACCGAATCGGTTGTATTTTTTTAATTTTATTTTAAGCCAAAAGAAAAACTTATTTATAATAATTTTTATTTTTTAAAAATAAAAAAAATATTTTTTGGGAAAAAAAATTTGAAAATTTAAAAATTAATAATTTGGTTCAAAACTGGAACCGAACTGGCCAATTTTTTTAAAAATTTTTCTTAAATCGGACCAATTAAATAATATTGGTTTTGGTTCCAGTTCGAGGTGAGAACCAGACCGAACGGACCTTGCCCACCCCTACTTGAAATGGTTTGTGGTTGCTATGATGGTAGAAGTTGAATTGGTGTTTACCTATAGTTGCACATGAGTTGGGTATGTGATTCATTAACCCAGATGCAGGTACTCGACATGAACTGAATATGTTGGCCTCAACTAGGCAGCCACAGAAATGAGAAATGGTAAGAAAGGGCCGCCGGTGCTTCTCTAGACAGAGAGGATAAGAGAGAACAGAAGGCGAAGATGGTAGAGGAGGGGACGGAAGGGGAGGGCTTGCGACATGTTTTTATATATTTAAATTCAAGTTTTAATTTCCTTTTTCATTTTCCTAAAAAAATTTAATTTAATTTAAATATATTAAATCTTTTATTAAAGCTACGTGGCACTATATTATTAGATGTATGGCCCCACATATATGTCATGAGCATTTTAACAAAAAATTTGACATAAACAGTGACCATTTTGATGTGTGGAGGATAACCTTAAGGACCGTTAATGTCACAAAAAACAATTAAGAAGAAAATGCGATAATTTTGCAAACTTCATAGACCATTATGATAAAAAGCCATAAATAAATAAAAATTACACATTCAACTCTTGCACGTGCTTGCATTGGGTGGGTGTTTAGTGCATTTATTTCATGTACACGATGTAAAAGTGCGTTACTAAAAATAGATCACCATATCGCATTTTCTCTTTTTCCTTTTTTTGCCAAGCACCAAAGCATTTTTCGGAATTGATTCAAATACATACAGAGCAGGTGGTGGGTAGGCTAAGAAATTATTAATTTGAAAACAGCTCTACAGAAGGAGAATGAGGATAATCATATTGTCCTCGTTAGCTTACAGAAAAACTAGTTACTGGTTGACTTATAATTTCTAGTTGTACCACCTTTTTATAATACCCATTCTCATGGCCTCCTCACTAGAGAACCCATAAGGCACTCTTGCCACAATATCTTGAATCATCATCTCTTTTACACTTGAAATACTTGCATGATAAATTTGTAACCCCAGGGATTTGAGTGCATTCATCAACTTAGCATATGGGTAGTCTTGATCTGGACACTGAACACGAATCATCGCTTCCGATCCCAAAATCTTTACATCCACTTCCACAACACCAGCTCTATTATTATTATTATTATTATTATTATTATTATTATTACTTGAATGATGAAAATCAACTATGGAGCTGGTGCTTTGGCTGCTGTGATGATCAAGATTGCTCACATTGCCCATTTTGGGATTTTGGGTTTGTGATTGGATTTTGGCCTCCAATTCTTCAACCTTTGATTTGAGTTGATTGATGTATGCCACAGCATCTGCAAGCAAAGAAGATCTGTCCATCTTCGACACATTCGGAACAACAGAGCGGAGGACGTAGAAGCGATGGTTAAGCTTCTCTCGCCTCTGTCTCTCAGCCTCAACATGGTTTAACAATTGTGATTCTCTACCTGGTCCATGGTTTGTTGATCTTCCTCTCTTTTTCAATCGAGTCCTCTCTGTGTTTTCAGAAGTGAAATTGCCAACAGAATCAGAAGGTGAGTCTGATGAGGAGCCACCAATATTGATAGGTGCAGCTTCTTTTGTATCACCCTCTGGTCAAAATGTGATATCAATGTCAAGAGAAACTGTTTGAAAATTTTCAACGAAATGTTTAAAATAATTTACCAGTCATTGTCAGCATTTTTTGTCAATATTTGATATAATATGGCATCAGCCATTCTCTATTAACTTAAACTTGATGCTTACCTTGTCTGGGGAAGTCTTTTTGAGGTCCTGAAAACATCCCACTTTCCGGGAAAGGAACAGGAGCATTGCCGTCGCGGCTGCCTTGCTTGGAGATCCTGTTGTTGTCTGATCCGAAGAGTGATTTGGACAGGTGCACAAGACCCCAATCTTCTTTGATCACATCCAGAGAAGCCAGTTCAAGCACCCCACATGGAGTTGCAATACAAACCAAAGTTTGAATTCCATGCATTCTAGCTTCTTTCACTCTCTCGCACTCATAAAATTGAAGCTCATGAGCACCTGCAAGCCAAACAAAACCACCAGAACAAAATGCTCGACCCAAAATGTTGTTAGTGGCATGGCCTGCAGCAAATGACTGGGTTAAAGAAACGCTGTAAAAGTAAAACCACTCAGAATCAGTAACATCTCCAACTCCATGATCCACCAGCCTCATGTCCAAGTCCTCCAAGTCTTCATGGAAAAGAGATTCAGCACATCCTCTGTTAATCACCTTCTTCCTCTGCACATTGTTGAACCCAAATTTGGGTTGGTAGTTGTTCATCACTTTGTTGCTTCTCTTGGATGCCAAGTCCTTGGAGCTTTTGAAATGGCCACCAGCCCATGACAAAGAGATTTGGTCATTGCTGTCTTTCGAGGCTTGCCAGAAAATCGCATACACCCACCATTCGGGCCTGTTCTGAACTATGAACTGGAGACGCTGTTGACATGTGGCTGCGGTTTCTTGACAAAATTGGGGTGAAGAAGATGAGGATATAATCTCTTCCATGGCCAAACTATTTTTTTTTTTTTTTGGGCTACTGAGACACAGGATGAGAAGAAGTAGAAGAAGAAAGTGAGTGAGTTGAGAGTGAGGTTCTCTCAGTGTTTGTGAGATGTGATGAGTTGTGATGATTGAATATGGGAATTAATAATGGGACACCTACTCCTCCACTGATAAGAGATTTTTTCTATATTTTGGATCAGAAGTTTTAAAGGGAGACCTACTTGTGGCTGGATCTATGCTTGCTTATGGTGTAAATGCAAAGACTAATGGCGTGCCACGTGATAAACGCAGGAGAGATTTATGAATGTGGCTGGATTTTTGGAAATTTTTCTTCTTCTCTCCCTCCAATTGGACGGTTTTTAATATTTTTGAACTTTGCTTATATCTGTCAATGAATATGAACTTTTCTTCCATCTAATAATAATACAACTTTCATTGCTTTATATAAGCACAATTTTGTTACGTTGAACTTTGATTATCTGTCAATCGATATGATTTGTTTTTTCTTCCTAACATTGCCTGTAATCTTATGCTTTTTATTTTTATTTTTATAATAAATCAAATCACGGATCATGTTATGTAAGGAAAAGAAAATGTCTACTGATTGGAAAAAGACTTCTGTGCGGACGTTGTTGCGCCCTCCCTCATCTCAATCATAAGAGATTTAATAAACATTTGGGCCCTCACCAAATCGAAGAAAACCAGGAACCAAATAAATAATAAAGGGGAATGCTAGCAATCTTCTGTTTCAAACCTTCTCCATTCGCCTCATGACAAGTGTTACTTTCCTTACACTTAAAACAATATCATCATTAATGCATCACACAAGTTAGTTTCTGATTTTCAAATTTACCCTTATTGACTGTTCTCAAGTAAAAAGTTCTTAGACATGGAAAAATATTTCTTTGCTTTTACACAATTGTATCCTTTTTTTTTTTTGGCTACTTTTTCCATATGCGGACTACTTAATTCACCATACAAAACATAAATATTAGAAGCAATTTCTTTTATCGTTATACTACTCTAAGATAAATATTAAAACGATAAATATTTTAAAAAGTAAATAAAAGTATGTAAAACTCTATGATAAAAGTATTTGAAAGTATATCACTTAACTCTATAAAGTATATAAAAGTCATTAAGAATCTTCAACTCTATAAAAGTCACTTACTTACAAAAAGGCCCTTACCAAATCAAAGAAAATCAGAAACCTGATAAATAATAATTACTTTCCCCTCCGCCGCGTCCAATACTCTCAAAATACGGCTCTTCGAACAAAGAGAAAATAAATGAAAAATAATAAAAAAATGCATCTGCCTCCTCTCGCGATCACAACAACCCTCCCACCTAACAAAATTTATAGGTGAACTCGTGCTTCATCTCTGTGGCCTCAAGGAGACAGGCTTACGTTCAGAAAGGGCTTCCCAACACCACCAATTTATCTCTCAACTATTACTTGTCCCCATATATATGCTACATGATTAGACTAGTTGAACATAACCTGATATAAGACTAGTGACTTACATTGGTGTAACAACGCAGAGGAGGTTTTTGCTTCCATGCTTATAATAAATTTCTGTGATGAATGCATGCCCATGATGAACACCGTACCCCCAACTACTTTTATTGCCAATACCTGATGGGTAGTCGTTTGATTGAGGGCATGTACATGCTCCATGTGCAGTTACTATATTCTGACGCTTTAATTATTTTTTTTCTTCTCTTCGTGCAATGGATTAAAGATTTGTATATGCCCCACCGACTTTGACCCCATGAAAACGAATGCTGTAGTAATTAAGTTTTTACTACGTATGTCAACAACAGTTTGTGTAGGACTGAGGTGGGGTCAGCAAACTAAGACAACAATCTCCGCTAATATATGTTATAATACGTGGATTGATAAAATCTGGTGATGATTTTTATGATGACTAGACGAGGCTAGAAAGTGCAGGAAGAGAGCATCAATGAACAAAGCAGGGGAGGGAGTCAAAGAAGTTGGTGCGTGAACAATGTGTTCTGAAATCTGAATGATCCTTTTCCTAGGAATCACCATTTCTCTATCTGTGTACTTTTTTCGAACTGTTGTTCATACATAGGAAGGAAGCATTGTCTCATATGTGATAAAACACAGAGCAGTAAAGGCCCATGGACGTGATCAATTTGGTGGGTTGCTTTCCTTTTCGTCCCATCCTGTAAGGATTTGATTTGGACCACCTTATAATTCCATGTGTAACAATCACATGCATGTATATACTATATGCAACTGCTTTCACCTTTGGAAACACTTCTGTTTTGTCTTCGAAACCAATTTTCCAGAGCCATTGTGGCTGGCAGTGGCTCGGCACTCCCTTAAATATATATTATTCCAATTTTTTTGGTTTGTTGCAAAGAAGGTCGCTTTCGAATCCGTGACTTCATCTTCCTACAAATGATCAGCATATTTAGCATGGGTACACTGTACACAACCAGAAAAGCATATACATTTACGATGGCATTGGTTCGAGCCAATAATGAGCATATACACAACCAAAATGATTAGTTGTCATTAGGCTAAGTCCTCACCATTTTAGTTTTAGATGCAAGTCCTTTAAATTTACTCTTTTTTTTTTGGGTTGATTTTGTCTTTGAGGTAAATAAGGAAACACACTGAAAATTCAAATTTAACACATTATTTCATTGTAATTGAATTTTAATCAACTCCAAAGTCAACTTTTTGGGTGTGTTTATAAATGAGTGTTGAGTGTGTGTAATGATGAGTTTTGAGTATGTTTATAAAGTGTTTTGGGTGTTGGGTTTTTTTATAATTTCAACCTCCATTTTGGGTGTTTTAGTGAAACTCCCTAAAAATAAAGACCCACATATTATACTAATCAATGAGGTAAACATCCAAATATTGAAAACACAATATGTTTAATCTTGTCAAGTTGATTTGTGGTGTTTAGGCATATCAACAAATAAACAACTTGAGAAAAACAAGATAAACTAGAGAACTATTGATGACATTTTTATGTACCTATATATAGAGGTAAATGTAAGATTATGTACCTAAATACTAGGTAAATGTGAGATTATTTACATCACTTACTAGGTAAATATATTATTATACCTGATTATTGGGGGAAGTATGAGATATAATCTACCTGACATATAGGTATTTTGTTATTTTCAATATACCTTTTTTTTTTGTTTCTTCAATTTACCTAATAAAGAGGTTGTAAACAATAAGAAAGGAAGCCAACGATTTTTTTGAGTTAAAAGAACAAAAAAAGACAACGTTAATATACAAAAGAATAATGCTACTCTTACCACATTTGTATATCACATCTTTATACCATTTTATATGGTAGCTGAGGTGTACAGCCACATCAATTAAAATTATTTATTAAAATTATTTTTTAATGATTTATTCCAGTATTTATTTTTCTAATTGTCTTAATTAAAATACACTTCGTTGATTTAATTGATGTGGCATATAATATGGTCATGCCACATCATGTGGTATAAAAATATAGGATAAAAATATGGTAAGTGTAGTATTACTTTATACAAAATCATGGATGTAATTAAAAAGAGAAGAAAAAAAGACAACGTAATTAATATACCAAAATCATTATGGTCATAAGCACTTAATTTGTTAATTAATTATGGTCATAAACAATTCTTTTCCGTAATTATCACATAAATTACAGTTACCCGATTCAAGACATAAGGGGCAACATTGGAACAAAAAATAATTTAAAATAAAATAAAAAATTACGCATTTGGATATATATCAACTTTTCTATTTCCACCTACCTGTCATATTTTCTCACCTACTTTATCTTCCCACTCACTATGTAAATTTAAAAAAACACAATCTTATCTTTTCACATACTATTATTCTTAAAGTACCCTTTAATTCTTAATCTAATGGCTAAAAAGAGCAATTGTTCGCTCTAATTGGAGAGATTTGACAACCAAAACAAAACTTATAGAACATATTTTCAACATGAGCATCTGATTACATTGGGATTTGCTCCAAGGGAGGAGAAGACTTTTGCCATGCCGATCATTGGGATTTGCTGCCCTCCTAAAAATGGGAAGAGTACATGATGATTGGAGTTTCTGATAAAGAATCCATCGTTTTGGCTCAAAATTTTTGGGGTTAGGGTTTTAGGATGGAGATAAAATAAGAGATTGATGGTGCTTCGGATTTGACGTTTCATCTTTGTGCTTTGGATTTTTTTTAACTTTTTTTAATTTTAAGTTTGAGGCAATTGTTTTGTTTCTAAATCATTTTCCATAAGTCCTTAAAAGTCATTTTATGAATGGGTAAATTTGTTTTTAAAATTTTGAAGATAAGGTGGATGAAAAAATAAAACAGGTAGATAGAAATAGAAACACTCTATTAAATTGATTGACAAAACCCGTTTATTAAACATATATTGACAAGACTCGTTTATTGATCTAGATAATTTTTCGTGTGATTATCCCCCATAAATTTCGTACAAATTTTGTGTCTAAAAACTAGGCCCAATGGTAAAGTGAGTGCCATAGCGATGACGTTTTCACGATTTGGTAACATGGCATGTCAGTGTTAATTTATATTGGAATTTGTAGCACACCAAAGCCAAGATCAAAGATTTCTTGTCACTCTAATTTCCGCAAACCCACCAATTTTATAACACGTAAATAATTTACTAATATGATAATTTTTTTTAGTACAAATTTGTGGGTCACTCGTACTTTAACCATCACCGAATAAGTTTTTATGACTGTTTTGAACAAGATTCAAAATGACTAGATATCAAAACAAGTAATGAGACAAAATCGTGAACTAAGTATGAAAGTTTTTCAAGGAAAAAAAATTAAAGATTTGGAGCATCTCCTCCAACATTAGCCAGGCTGGCTAATTTCATCATTAGAGACAATAACAGATTAGGTAAACATTAAAAAAGATTAAAACTCACTTGCAATGTTTGCACATTCTCTCTCTCCCCTCTTTCTCTGACCTCCCCTACCTACCCCGTAATCCCAAACTCCAGTTCCGTTTTTCTAAGTATTCCATTTCCTGTGAGTTGTGTCTTCTTCTTCCCCAATCAATCTCCATCAAATCATTGCCCCATCCTGTGAGTAGTGTTTTCTTTTCATATATTCGCCCAATTCCCATACTAAAATTACCATTGTGATTATTTCACCACTTCATTCTTTCTCTTGACTGAAGTTTTTTGTGTTTTTGGTTTTGGCCGATCG